CCAGGCAGCCGCTTCCCCGCGCATGGGCGGGAGTGGGACCCACGGGGCGGGCAGGATTCAGTGCCACGGTGAGGGTGAGCTGCCCCGTGGGACGGGAAGAGCAGGCAGAGGGGGCTGGCAGGCTTCCACTCAGCAGTACGAGGAGGAGAAAAGCGTCACATTGCCTCAGTTTCCAGAAGCGAAGAGTGACAGGGAAGGGGTGTTGTAGGCTTTGTTGGGGAGCTCAGTGCAAAATTCACATGAATTTTTACTAGGAAACATAAGACTTCACACAAATTGAGTTACTTTAAAGTGCTTACCCTTGGGATTCTCTGTCCTGTGCCGCTGGGGGTGTTCTGGTGGAAAGTTTGAGAAGCCTGTGTATTATTGCATTCTGTTGCTATGATGTTAAATCTCACCCAAGTGAGTATTTAACCTTAAAGAGTTTGAGATTCACTTACCCATTTTGTTATCCTTATTAGAGCTTTTGCAGCTGCTCCAAACATCCCTCCATTTGTACATCTTAATAGTCACTTGGCAAGCGGCTGCACTCTGCTCCGGGAGGCCGCGCTGGCGGCCGCGGGGCCCGGGGCCGGACGGCGGTGCCCTCGGTGCCTGCCTTTCCCACCCCTTTCTGAGGGGAGGATGCGGAGGAAGGCAGGGTCCCCGAAGCGCAGCTCCCTCTGAGGACATTTCAGAGAACCTTTTTCTTGTTTCCTCAAAATCCTTAACAAACCCGCTGCTGCTCTGTTCCCCCTGGCGAGGCGCGGCGTGGAGAGCTGTCCGCCAGCCTCTCGCTGCACTTGACTCTCAGTGGGGAGTCAGCCGTTCGGCTTCCTTCCTATTCATCGCGTGGCCTGCTGGCTTTTCTTTCCAGATGGTTTTAGTATGGTTAACCACCCCCTTTGAGTTCTTCGACCTTCTTAGTAGACAACCCTGTGGACAGCTTGGTCACCCCACAAAGTGACTTCATAGGGCGGAGCATGTGAGACATCCGAGGTCACGTCCCTCTTCCTGTTGACAGATGAAGAGGCCGAGGCCTGGGGGGAGCTCGGTTCGTAACTGGAGCGTCGATGACCAAGTCACAGCCCCTTGCTTCCCAGTCCTCCCAGCCCGGGGGGCCCTGCCCCTCCCTCACCCATCTCGAGTTCCGAGGGCAGCGCCCCACCTGCCGGGCCCCAGCACCCTCCATTCCCGGGGGCTTCCTCGTCCAGGCAGAGAGGCCTCCCCTGACCCCCTCTTTGAGTGTCTGTCTGCAGGGTCACCTTCACCTTCATGCCCCGTCCACAGCTTGTGTGTGCCGAGTATGACCGGGTGCTCACTTACTACTTCTTGTCTTCCCCTCAGAGAGTCCCGTGGAGGCAGGGACCGCCATCTTGGTTTGAGCCTAGGACATCCGGCATCTAGTGAGGAGTACGGCACACTCGTGCTCAGAAAGTTTGCAGACAAACGGATGTGTAAATCTAGACTTAAGTCAGATTGCTCTTGTCTCCTGCCATTAAAGGGGCTCTTTTCTCATTGCCGGCCAGGGCTTGTCCTGCTGTCATCTCACAGCCCTTTGCTGCTCTCACGACCAGAAGTGTTTTGGAGTTTGGCATTTTTGAGATTTGAGAATAGAATTAGGGAGTACACCATATATTGCGGAACATCCCCAGGCAGCACCTTGTAATGGGATTTTTGCAGCAATGTGCATGGCTGTTGACACCAGGCGATTAGCTGCACATTGTGTCGTGACTGGCCACCCGATGCGTTACAGACGTGTTTTCAGAGCTTTGGGGTGAGGGGCTGCGGACCTGTTTTGGTGAATGCGCGTCAGGCCTCGCGCCGCGTGCTGGAAATGCAGAGGACGGGTGCGTCGCGCCTGCCCTCCCACGTGGGGCAGGGGCACAGGGCGCGGTGGTACAGCCGCCGGGAAGGCAGTACCGTGGGGGCCGCTGCTGGCCGTTTGGGGTGTGCCCACAGCCCTGGCACGGGGCACTGCCCTGTGACGCAGGGAGTGTGGGCAGTGGTTACAAGGCCGTCCTGGATCTCCTTCCCTAGGGTCTGGCTGTGGGGGTTCAAGGAGCAGAGAGCAAAGCTCAAGACAGGGCGCCCGACTCATGATGCTCTATTCCCCTGTGCCCCCCGCCCCCGCTGGTGGGAGGGGGGCCTGGGTGGCTGTCCGAAGACCACCTTTGATCTTCTGTGCTGGAACGACCTGCCCGCGTGGTTGCACACTGGCTGCTGGCTGGGCCGAGGCTGTTTTAACATACACTACCCGACTTTTAAAACATGAATATGCTTTAATTTTCATGTTTTTAAGATGCATTTTTGATTAGATAGAAATCTTTAAAAAACTTACGTGCTTTCTGAAACGGTGCTTGCATTTTGAAAAAAAGTTTAATTGCCAGGCTGCAGGAAAACTTGCCCATTTTTATTAGAAAATGAAAAGCCAAATATGTCTAAATATGCATATTTCAAATCATTAAAGATGATATAAGGCAAAATAGCTTGTTCCTGAAGCAGATGGCAATCTGCATTATTTCTAAAGTTTTCCTGTGATCTTTTATAAATTATATAGAATGTATTAACTCTCATTGAACATGTATATTAAAGATTATTCTTTCAATTTAGAGTTATTTTTGTCCAACGTACTTAAGATTGAATGAGCCATGACAGTGTAGGAGAAGCACGCTTTTAGTCTTTTAGATTTTATAAGAGATATTACAGTTTTCATAAAGACATGAGAACGGTCTTTGGCAATGTATTCTAAAATAAGACTGGAGTTTGTGTTGTAAAAACTTCCTTCAAGACACATTCTGGGGTTTTATGAGTGAGTGATGGTGGCAGGACAAGGTGGCATCACCTAGAGTTTTATTTGCAAATAGTTTATTTAACAGGGTTTAAAAGAGACTCCTTGTGTTTTATAATTACCCTTCTTTGGGGACCAGCCTGTCATGTAAAGCATATCTGGCGGTGTTATCTTTGCTACAGATGTACTATGTTTATGTTATTGGAAATGTTTGATTTCTTAAGTATGTGTGTATGTGTGTGTGTGTGTGTGTATCAGTAGATTAGATTGATTCCGTAGTTTAAATGTTTGCATCTGTATTGCATATAAAAACATGTCAGTTTCCAAGTGCGGCCTTTAGAGTATTATAGAGTATTACAGTATAGTATAGAAGGCTTTTTTAAAAGGTCATAGTAGAAACGTTTTATGTGTTTAATTGCTTAAACATTTTCTTTCACTGAGATTATTTTTTTCAAAACACTGAATGTAACATGAGAAAATGTTAAATGGATACAACACTATAAGATTTTCCACAGAAGTTTTAATTCACAATGAGGCATACTGGGAAGGCTCCATTAACTTAACGCTTTAGATGGTATCATCATTTTGGAAAAACCACTTCACCGCAGGGACAGTGTTTACAAAAACTGAAGTCCTCTCTGCACTGACGTTGCTTAGCTGTGCATAGGTAGTGAGTGACGGCAGTGTCAAAACCAATTTAAAATTACCTGTGTTGTCAATATGCAGATTTTCTTTATTCAGTATTTACACTATGAATTTACCAATCTGAGTAATTTGTAATACAGTAGCATAAAACCAATCAGACCTACCAGACTGAAAATGTGTGCATATCTAAAGTGGTTTCTTTTCTTGATTTTGGTTAAGTTAACAGAAGTATCTTCACATCTGTAATTTCTGGTAACTTAATGAGAACACACTGAACTTTTGGGTCACAATAAATTTTCCCATTATGTAAAATATTTTACACACTGGTTGACTCATTGTGAATTGTGAGTAGACATGATTCTCTTCCTGCGGAAAATAGAAACATATTGTAATGACAGTTTCAGCCAATTACAGAATTGTGCTTAGGTTACCACCTTGCTTTCTGTCAGCTGGATTGTTGAAAACCTTGAGATGGACAGACGGCAGTAGGAAGGAGCTCGGAGCTCTTTTTTTAGAGTTAGAGGGTGTAGTCTTTCTAGAAATCAGTGAGTTTTATACATAGGCTTATTTTTGTTTTTTATGAGTTTTATGTTCAGTTAATGAATGTGTTTTCTTAGTTGTATTAACTTCAAGTCTTGTAAATATTTCTGGGTCTTAGAAACCTCAGCGTTCTTATTTCATAGTAAGAACCATGTAAATGAGCACTTTTTGGTGGTGATGGGGTTAATAGTTTCTCTAGTGATACTGCCTTGCATGTTTAAAATGCTACATCTGTGTATGTATGTAATTTATATTTTATGATAAAGTTAAAATCAGCTTATTTCTTGAAAAATTGTTGATCTCGGAGATTTGGGGGGGAAAAAGTTACCCCAAACAGTTTATAAGTTATTTTGAATAGTGAGTAGCTTATTTAAAATTATTTGGAAAGTGTACCCTCAAAATAATGCATGTTTGGGGGCATAATTTTCCTTTTATGTTTGTTTCTTTGAGATGGTGAGCTACATCTCATGAAGCGACGTTGATTATCAGATGTTTGGCCTTTGGCTTGATTGTGTCAGCCTTAAAAAACATAACTATCGAGATAGTCACATACCACACAACTCACCTATTTTATGCGTCCAAGTCAGTGGTTTTTAGTATATTCACAGTTGTGCAACCATTGCCTGTCTCGGACACTTCATATAAGCAGAATCATATAATACAAGACCTTTTGTGTGTGGCTTTGTTTTTTTTGGCATATGTTTTCAAGATTCATCCATGTCATAGGCTATGTCAAAGGTTGTTCCTTTCTGTTGCCACGTGATATTTCGTCGTGCGGATATACCACTTTATGTGTTCGTTAGTCCATTGATAGACTTGGGGTTGTTAGCTCTCTTGGCTGTTATGAGTAGTACTGCTAGGAACAGCCGTGTACAAGTGTTCGTGTGCACATGTGTTTTCATTTCTCTTGGGCGTGTACCTCGGGGTTCCCATCAGCTTTTGGTGCTCCTTTGGCCTGCTGTTGAGATTCCAATTTGTGTTTGTAAAGAGTCTCTGCTACTTGTGACTGGGGCTTCCATGACCTTTGTTTGTGACCCGGTGACTCCTGTTTCATGCTTGAAGCCCCTGGACCCCCTGATGCCTGGAGAAGGAGCCAGTTATAATACCCTTCTTTCCTGAGACCGGATCACATCTGATGGTCATCACAGGCTCTTGTCAAGTAAGTACTCTGTTAGGTTTTTGGCAGATAATTCTCTTCTGTATCTAAGCCAACTAAATCTTGTCTGTATTTTGTATTTTTCTTACTTTCTTCTCTCTTCTTGGTGATACCCTTTGTTCTTTGGCCTCAGAAGCAGGCGGTAGTGACTCTGAATGAGTTGTCTATACATTCCCTTCAGGCAGTATACCACGCCTCTGGCTTTTTTTTATGGTAATTTTGGTAACTGGGTTGCTTATTTTTGAAGTAATAAACACTTTAAGAGAGTAGTGATACTCTTGAGCATTTTGTTAAGTGTGCAAATGAGACCTACAGGGATGTTTCCATAATTTGTATCAAATTCATGTAAATGTGCATTAACACTCTTAGCTAATTGCCTGAGTTAGATTAGGAATTTTATTACTGCTGTTTAATTAAGGAGCAGATCCTGCCATGGTCATTCCAGTTAATGGTGAGAGTCCTTCAGGTCTCTCGTCATGTGTTTCAACTGAGTCGAGCTTGGAAAGTTATTGAGTGCTTTGTGGATGCAGGCTGTATTTTGTAACCGTTGTGCCTTGCATTTCGAGAAGTGTATACTTTTGGGAACCTTTCACCTGCATCATATCAGTTAAAAAAGTGAGGTTTCTAGGATAGGCCTTTCCTATAGACAAGAAATCCCAGATTCCGGAAGGGCGAGCGGTGGGTGGTGGAAGTCGGTGTCAGAGGAGGCAGAGCGCCCCTTCCACTCTGCCCTGCACCCTGGGCCGAGAGGCGGCAGGATGTGGGCAGACCAGGCCCTGCCCTCGCCAGGTGGTGCCAAGCCCACAGCACCAGACAGCTGACAGCCACGCAGCACGTGCGCTCAGAAAGTTATTTCTCCTGTTGGAGCCTCACTGCTTCCTAGTCTGTATCGTGGAGACGATAGGAAGCCACCCCACAGGCGCGTGGGGACCTGGCTCCAGGGCACTGAACATGCTCGCTGCCCTTGGTTTTCAGAAGGCCGACCCGGAAGGTGGTTTGAGTGGTCCTGTAGCGGGCCCCTTCGCATCGCCCCCTCCTCCGACCTTCCGCTACTGGCCCTAGAGCCCCGTGGACTCCCCCGCACCCCCAGGGTCGTCTCAGCCCCTGGCCAGCTGTTGGCCCCACCCCTCCCGGTGGTGTCTCTGCTGGAAGGCATGGAAGTCCTGATGCAAGACCCCTGCCGGCTCCCCCAGACCCTCTTGGGAAGGCCCACAGGCCAAGCACAGGATGCTGGCTCCCGGGCCAGGCCCAGGGCCTCTGACAGGTCATAGGAGACAGTCGAGTTACCACGCTGCAGCTGCCTGGGCCTGGTGGGGGTGAGACTGCCTCAGAGAACCGGCCTTGATCCCCCACTTGAAAGGCAGCGTGTGGAGGTGCACCGGCCTTTATGTGCCCCAGGCGTTTGATAGAGTCCCTCTGAGACGGGAGACGGCGCAGCCACTCCAGCGAGTCTGTGAAGCAGTGACGGCGAAAAGAAATCTCACGCTGCCTCTCTCTGCCTTCTGCTCTGATCGTCCGCCTCGTGCTGCGAGATTATCTAGTCAGTCAGGAATTTACACGAAGTGCAGCTGGTTTGGTCTAAAATGTTCATTTAGTCACATCTCACTTTTGGGGAGACCAGGGTTGGAAAGCAGCCGTATTTCCATAAGTCTGATCCGCCTGTTCCCACGAGTGAAGCCCCCAGGGGAGCATCTTCCTTTGGGCTGGCGTCAGTGACCTTTAGTGGGTGAGTAGGGTGTGGCCTGCGCAGCCTGGGCCTGGGTTTGAGTCCCGGCTCTCTCACCTGGACTGTAACTGGCTTTCTCTGTGCCTTGGTCTCCTCGGCTGTCAGACCCCTCACAGAGTGACAGGCGATTGTGTGTGGGAGCAGTGATGGCTGACCTTCGGGGAGCCGCCCATGAGCTCCAACAGCACTGCTTTAGGCACTGCAGATACAAACGTGCTAGCCACGCGGGCCTTGGCGGGCTCAGACGCAGGGGTGTCCTTTCCAGGAGTGTGGTAACTGCCAGGGATGACGAGCCCGGAGGAGGGGCCTTGCTGCTGGGGTGGGAAGGGCGTCGGTGAAGACGGGGGTGAAGACGGGGCGAGGAGAGGGTCCGGAGCCTGCGCTGGGGAGGGGCGAGGTAGATGGAGGGGCGGCAAAGCCAAGGGTTCTCAGAGCCAGCGGCGGCTTTGTGCCAGCAGGCCAAGGGAGCCACCAGTGCCCTCCTGAACTCGGTTGCTCATTTGCCCGCTGCTCTGCTGAGCACCTGCCCGATGACAGACTGGGTGCTAAATATGGGGTCGTACACACAGGTCTGAACAGGGGCCACTTAGACTGTGGTCCCCGCCGGGAGGTGGTCACCACCATCGGAAGACAGCTCTTACTTATGGAGGGGCAGTGCAGTGGTGTCGCATGCCACAGAGCCGCCCTGCTAGGTCCGGAGTCTGCCACCTCCGCCTGGTCAGCATGTGCCGTGAGCGAGTGTGTGCCTCAGGTACCCGGTGCTCGGGTGTCTGTCAGCTGCGGTGACGGCAGTGCCCGCTCAGGCTTCAGATCAGAGCCGCGCAGTCTTGCTGGGGACTCCCCGGTGCGTGGCGAGGAGCGGGCGCACCGTTGCGGGGCTGTCCTCCCCTCTTCTCTCCCTTTGCTCCGCTGAGTGCTCATCCCCTGGCTCCTGTTAAATGTCCCTTCTGCACAGAAGCTCCCGTGGGTCTCCAGCAGCTCCAGTTCTGCCTCCGTCAGTATGCTGGCCCTCCTCGTGCTGGGGGCCACTTACCCCCGTTTGTCTTCCCCACCGGAGGCCCCGTAACCCCGGGGACCTTTCACACAGTGTGCGGTTCCTGCACACCCAGTGGGTTGGAGGAACGGATGACAACCACAGGTCACTTAGTGAGCATGCTGCTCTGTTAGGTCCCTTTTTCTGACTTTGGTTTCTCGTTTTTTTCTGAATTGGTCAGTGGTTTACTGTTTCAAGAGCTCTGACCACATCATGGTTTTTACGACGCCGTGAAGGTAGCTGGGTGTCAAGGTGATCGCTGCCCACAGAGGCGCTGGCGGTGCTTACGGCGCTGGCATTCTTGCGGCTGGCTGAGGATTGTCACAGGGAGCCCTGAGCGCCGAAGCCGTGTGTGTCATCGTGCATGTTTCATTCAGTTCAGCGTTCTCACCCAGCACGATGCTTCGTCAAGGCCATCCTCCAGTGAAAACCACAAACCAGTCAGCCTTTAGGGAGCAGGTTGGAAATCTAGAAATGCTCCCCCCGCAGGCGTTGGCAACATTTATTTAAAGGGCCTTACAGAATCTTTGTGATTCAGAAGGCAGCTCGCTTCCTGTGCCAAGGAGTCTCTCTCCTGCGCTCTGGCTTCTGAGACTGGGAGCTTTCGGAAAGACTGCAATGCAGGGGTTGCCACAGTCCCTGTTAATATGCAAACGGCCGGCGCCGAGGTCTTTGGCGCCCCTTCACAGCCTGCAGTCTGACGGAGGCGGCGATGAAGGCAGCACTCCCCGGGACTTTGCCGCGCGCGGTAAGGACGGAGCGTGTTCGGAGGACCGCGGTGCGCAGCGCGGCCTGCAGCGGCTCTGTTAAGCAGCGGATGCGGATGCGGCGGGCTCCCCGGGAGTGCGGCCCGCGGGCGCCTTCGCAGCCCGTGCACGGGAATTCCGGGCTGTTCTCTGTGTTCACATGGTGGGGTGTGAGCAGGCGAGGGGCTGGAGAAAAGCACGCACAGTACGCGTTTTAGATGTTTGTGAATAACCCGAGTAAAGGTGAGGAATTAGGATGGAGCAGGCCTCTTCTGAGCCTAGGAAATAAAACTTTGGTTTCTTATTAAGGATGGTTTGGACATTTAAACAGTTATTTTATTTAGTGTTGACACATGCCTTCTAAATAAATTATTGAAGATGTTCTGTAAAGAGATCTGCCTTTTCTTTGACTTACTAACCATGGTCGAATTCCAGAGATGGAGATTTGCGTGTCAACGTTTATTTCTTTACCTTAGGCAATGACAGTTTCATTAGTTTGGCATGGAACGTTTTGTTTCACAAAATCTTAACCGTGGGGCCGTGGATGATGAAGTCTGATTTCCTTAGTTCTTATTTGCCTTCAGATACGTGTTTTCGGGTGTGTGCAGCGCCGCTGTCTGAGGTGAGTGGCTCCTGCCTCCAGCTGCTCCTCTGTGTTTGTCTAAGAGGGAGGCTGAGAGTCAGAGTTCAGATTCGTTTTGCTGTAAGTGGTGGCCCCACACTGTATTAAATGAATTAGGGGTGGTAATTTATATATGTCCAATGCTGGGAAACATAATGCCAGGGTTGCCATGGCAACTGCATGAATTGAGAAAAGCTTATGAATGGCTCTGACCCTCCTGGCATGTTAAGTGAGGTGTTCCAGCCAAGAGCGCTATTCACAACTAGTGTGAGCAAATGCAGCTTCCCGTGCGCGGCACGTCCTGTCCCCTCGGTTACCAGACTTGTCCACGCAGCACCATTCTTTCTCTGGTGACAGGATCTGCCTTAGTCTCTTGGTTCCTGGCAACAGACTGTGGTCGAGAGGTGGTTTCCACTTCCGGTTGGGGAACTAGCCTGTGTGTACAAGAACCCAATGCCTCAGTCTGTGGGCGGGGTACGATGGGCCAGCAGTCAGTCCTCGACATCGCCAGGGCACCGTGGCAGCCGTGCGCCGTGTGGTTCTGGCAGAGCTTCCTGTCCTCGCGAAGGGCCCTTTGCCAGGAGCACACTCCGGGGCTGTAAGGACCCCAGGGAAGCAGCCTTGCTGTCTGCTCCCGGTATAACGGTGGGTGGTTTGAGAGGGGGAGACCCAAGTCAGAAAGACCCACATTCAAGTGCCAGCTTGTGAGAATAACAAACGAAGGCCTATGTCTCCATTATCAAAGGATTGCACTGTTTGCTAGAAATGTGTGTGGCATGGTTTCTTTGCAAACCAGCTCCCCTTGTGCACTTAAACTATAGCGATATCTTAACTGCAGGGGACTGAAATATCTGTTAATATTTTGTCGAAGGCCTC